CTGTTTTCATCATTTGCTTTTGTTGACATTCTCTTTCTATTTTTCAACGTAACTATGTTTGGTCCGATGCCAGTTCGCTCACTACCAGCCAGGCACCTTCATCATACCAACCATCTCGATCACCACCTCAACTGGATCAGGATATTCAGGGCCGTACCTGGATCAGCCAGGCTGACTAGGCAGGGATGGATGGATTACGGTCCAGACGGATACACATCTCATTCTGTAGACTACACACATATATATATATTGTAATTCTACACTCCTGTTGTTCGCTTCTCTTCACCAATTCCATTCCACACTTGCTCGCCCCAACTGTTCCATCTCTTTCTCATCTCGTTCACACTTGTTGTCTCACTCATACTGATATAGTTCCTTCTCAGGTATGCATTGCAATCAATAGACCAATTCCATTCAACACTTGCTCGCCCCAACTGTTCCATCTCTTTCTCATCTTGTTCACACTTGTTGTCTTGCTCGTACTGATATAGTTCCTTCTCAGTCCGCTGACAGGTTATGAGCCCAGACTAGCACTATTCATAAAACTACAAGATCAACCTACAAGATACAGATTCATCCAGTTTTTTTTTACAAGCACACAGTCCTCGGTCAACTCAAATTCTTTTCCTCTTCATCATGTCCAATGAAATCATCTCCTGCGACCGAACCGGAATTCCTATTCTCAGATCACACAACTTCGCCGTCTGGGAATTCAAGCTGAAGACCCGCCTACGAGTACTCAAGGTACTATCTATCGTTGATGGGACGGAGACCTCACCTTCTCCAGTCACCGATGCCTGGAACAACAGGGTCAACCTGGCCCTTTCAGAGATTGTTACCAAGCTCGACGACGCCAATACCTCCCATGTCTTCGAACACATCCTTGATCCAAGAGCCATGTGGACGGCAATAACTTCTCTTCATTCTTCCTCCTCCCCGGCCCACAAAGCCAAGATCTTTGGTCAATTTTACGCTCTCTCCTGCCCAACTTTGAGTGATCTCAAAACATTTCTTTCCGAAGTTTGTTTAGTCGATCAACAACTAACTTGCATTGGCTTCAAGGTTGACTCGGAGGTTCTTGCGTACTTCACTCTCTTCAAGCTTCCTTCAGAACTTGAATCAGTTCGTTCGGCTCTTCTCTTTGGTGGGAAAGAGGTCACTTTGAAATTTGTTCTTGACAGTCTCGACTAAACATTGACTTTGGTCCTGACATCCTCTGTCTCCGTCAAGACTGAGTCAGCGCTGGTTGCTAGCTTGGGATCACAGAAGGGACCCGGATCTTCTCGCCCTTGATGAACTCACTGCAGGCAATTGGGACACCTGGTCAAAACTTGTTATTGGTTGAAGCCCCATCTCAACCCAAGAAATCCCTCTTCCACCTCTTCCACCTCGGCCTTGGTTGCCGAACAAGTCTTTATGACATCTGATATCCCGACTCCAAATCTTACCATTCTGGCCTCAGGAACAACTTCCCATATGTTCAACTCTCTCGCCCTGCTTCAAAACCCACAACCTTGTGATGTCAAAGTCGGTATAGGTGAATCAGGCAGGTTTATGAGGGCAACTCACATTGGCACTGTTTCTGCAACTACCTGCTCAGGTCCTCTCCAACTAGGCAAGGCACTGTTCATTTCAGAACTTTCTCGGGATCTCTTGTGTTACAAGGTATTACATCTGCCCTTTGACTCCAGGAAGATTTGACCTTACAAACGGCAGTCACATTCTCATCAATGGGACCGTCAACAACAACCTCTTCTATCCGGACATCACATTTTCTTCTATGGGCAACTTGGGGTCAGTATCTTTCTTAGCTCATGGCGTCAAGACCTCCACATCCCTATGGCATAATCGCCTGGGCCACCCCAGCTCTTCTTATCTTTCCTACATCCTTTCCCTTGTTGGAGCCTCCTGCACCAATGAGTCTGTTTGTGTCTCTTGTGCTACGTCCAAACCTCATCGGCTTCCTTTCCCTGGTAATCTTCCTTGCCCTCTGGCACCACTTGATGTTGTACATTCTGATCTCAGTGGAATAATCACTCCCCCAACTATTAGTGGCTTCCGTTATTACATGAAGATAACTGATGGTTTCACATCCTATCAACACATTTATCTCCTCAGAACCAAGGATGAGGCCTTCTTGCACTTCAAAGCTGACACCAGTGTTGTCAAAACCTTCCACTCCTGCAAGATCAAGAAGCTCATCTCCAACGGAGGGGGAGAATATGTCAACATTCCCTTCACGACTTGGCTCTCCAAGAAAGGCATTGTCCACCAGATCACCGCCCCGTACACCCCACAACAGAATGGTGTTTTGGAGCGCGGCAACACCATCACGGTTGAAAAGGCTCAATGCTTACTTTTGACGGCCGGTATGCCCCCCACTCTTTGGGGAGAAGCTGTCACCACAGCAATCTACCTTGAGAATCGCCTCCCAAGCAGGTCCATCAACTTTGCCACCCCTCACAAGCTGTGGCACAGGCAAGCGGCCTCCTACAACCACATCAGAACATTTGGTTGTGCCGCGTTTTTTCACCTTCCTAAACATAAACGTGAAGGAAAGTTTGGTCCCACCACTCGACGATGTGTCTTACTTGGCTTTTGTGAAGGTACTCGGAACTTTAGAGTTATTGATCCCTCCTCCATGTCTGTCACAATCTCTCACAGCGTCTCTTTTGACGAAGACTCGTTTCCTTTTTCCACTCTCAAATCTTCCACGGATCCTTCCATGTCTGAATTATTTGAAGATGACTCTCCCATTTCATCCAATGCCCCCAAGCCTCCTTGACGCATCATCCTGCGGGTTGGTCCCCCTCCACAAGAAGAGAGTCTCCGGTCACCAAATCCTCGACTTACAATACTGCTCCTTCCAAGCCCTCCACTGTTGCGCCCTCAAGCCCTTGACCTGTCCGTGACCGACGTCCCCCTGAACAATATGGCGAGTTCAATGCCTTGGCTTTCAATGCTGAGATTGTACCTCCTGGCAAACCAGTCACCTATTGTCAAGCTCTTGCCTCGTCAAACAGTCATGACTGGAAGGCGGCCATGGATCAAGAACTTCTCTCCTTGGATGAATGCAAGACCTGGACCCTCGTCACTTTGCCACCCAGCAAGCACTCAATTGGCTCAGAGTGGGTTCTCAAAGTCAAGTACAAATCCGACGACTCCATCAATTGTTTCAAGGCTTGGTTCGTTGCAAAAGGGTTTTCTCAAATACCTGATCTTGACTTTGGTGACACCTACGCTCCAACCGGTAGACTTGGCACTCTTTGCTTACTCATTGCTCTCGCCATCATGTATGGATGTAGTGACAGCTTTCCTCAATGGTATCCTTGAGGAGGAAATCTACATGGATCCGCCTCCCGGTCTCCCCAACTCTGAAGGTAAGAAGTGTAGCCTACACCGGACCCTCTATGGTCTGAAACAATCTCCAAACCGCTGGTACCATCGCATCTATACCTGGATGTTGTCCATGGGTTTTGTTGTTAGTCCTCATGACCCGTGTCTATTCATTCGCGCAGACCCGGTTGCACCTTGCTTTGTTTTCATCCACGTCGATGACCTCGCCATATTTGGTAGGAACATTGTCTGGTTCAAGAATGCCATCAAGAAAGAGTTCAAGATGGTCAACAACGGGCCAGCTCACTTTCTTCTCGCCATGAGGATCACCAGGACTTGTACCTCCATTTCTCTATGTCAAGATCAATACATCCTGTCCCTCCTTGAGCTTTTTGGGATGACTGAATGTCCACCCGTCTCAACCCCCTTTGTTCCTGACACACATCTTGTCCCCGCCACCCAATCAGAGATCAACAAATTTTCTTCATTAGGAATCTCTTACCGGGGGATTGTGGGCTGTCTTGGTTATCTAGCTCAGTGCACTCGACCGGAGTTGGCATACCCGTGTAGCATTCTTGGTCAATTTCTTGAGAATCCTGGCATAGCTCACTGGATGGCCGCCAAGCACGTTCTTCGCTACCTTTCAGGAACCCGTCTTGTTGGACTCACCTTCCACAAAAACCCGTCTCCAACCAACATCGTCGGCTATAGCGACTCGGATTGGGCCACCTGCCGTTTCTCCTGACACAGCATGTGCGGCTTTGCCTTTGTCATTTGTGGTGGTGCCATCTCCTGGCGTGCGAAGAAGCAAGCCTTGGTCTCTCTTCCTCGTCCACTGAGGCAGAGTATCGTGGCCTTCTGGACGCAGGTAAGGAAGCCTTGTGGCTTTGGGGTCTACATCACTCCATCACTCCTGCTCACTCCACCGAGCCATATGTACTCTTCTGGGACAACCAGGCCGCCATTGCGCTCACCAAGTCTTTGGATTTCTGTGCAAACACCAAGCATATTGAGGCTCATTTCCACTGGATTTGCGATCGAGTCTCTTCCAGCCTCATATCAATTCCTTACTGTCCCACTGGCGAAATGGCTGCTGACATCTTCACCAAGGCTTTAGATCATGTTAAAATGGCCCGCTTCTGTGGCTTATTGGGAATAGGGCCCTGTGAGGCACCTGCTGCGAAATGACAGGCGTTCACCCCGATCATGTTTCTTTTTTTTCTCCTTGCATTATGACGGTCATGTGGGTCCTGAGTGCGTGTCATCACGTTGAGGAGTTTCTTTTTTCTCTCTTTGTATTATGAGCCTCTGCCCTACTCAAAAGATTGTTTGTGATCAAGAGGCATGCTTCCAGTTTTTTTTGTCTCCTGTTTTTTTTTTTTTTCTCTTGTTCTGCTTTGCTGCCCAATTATATTGTGAGGCACTCTGTGCATCAGATGGGGGGGGTGCTGACGTAACTATGTTTGGTCCAATGCCAGTTCGCTCACTACCAGCCAGGCACCTTCATCATACCAATCATCTTGATCACCACCTTGACTGGATCAGGATATTCAGGGCTGTACCTGGATCAGCCAGGCTGACTAGGCAGGGATGGATGGATTACGGTTCAGGCGGATACACATCTCATTCTGTAGACTACACACATATATATATATTGTACTTCTACACTCCTGTTGTTCGCTTCTCTTCACCAATTCCATTCCACACTTGCTCGCCCCAACTGTTCCATCTCTTTCTCATCTCGTTCACACTTGTTGTCTCACTCATACTGATATAGCTCCTTCTCAGGTATGCATTGCAATCAATAGACCGATTCCATTGCACACTTGCTTGCCCCAACTGTTCCATCTCTTTCTCATCTTGTTCACAATTGTTGTCTTGCTTGTACTGATATAGTTCCTTCTCAGTCCGCTGACACTATTTGCATTTCCATTTCCACAGTGAAGGGAAATTCACCATCATTTCTGGTATGATTCAGTTGTTAGCATTTGTGAAAAGCTTAGAACAAGATTATAGGCAGGTCAAGAAAGGGGTTTCTATTTCTTACGGTTCAAGTAACAAAAATTGGGAAGAAGTGGTCACTGCTTTGGGCATGGCAAAACTGACCAAACGCAAGTATGTGGCTAACAAAGGCCGCGCTCCCAACACCACAGACGAGCTGCTCAACAAGAAGTCTAAGGGTAAGAAACCTGGTCGTCCAAAGGGATCTCAGAACATCATTTTCAATGCCCTACAACCTATCAATCATACACAAAAGGTAAATCTCCTGGAACCACAAACCGATGCTGGCAGTCATCCACTCTGGAATCTCTCTACGCCCTCTTTGGACCATTGTGGGGTCAACAGATGACAGTCAACGGTCACAACTTGGTCAATGTTTTATTGCGTCATTTCACCAAGCGCTGCAAAACCAAAATTCAACAAGGAACAATTTGATCTGTTCTATCCCAAGGCCAGAATCTTATCCATGATGCACTTCGACAGAAGGCACCCTTGTCTTTCCCACCTGACGTTTTTGCCTCTGCCAATGGCTTCATGCAGCTCTTATTGGACAACAACAATAAATCTCTGCTTGCCCATCTCTTTGCTGTCCCTGTTAAAAGAACTCACATCTGCCCTAGTAATGAAGACCATCAGATGGTGTCTACTAGCTCACGGCCAATCCTTTCATTTACTTCTACAATGTTCAGGAATGCTGCATGTCCATATGCAGATGTGGCGAACTTCATCGCGGGATGGACGACTAACGGTCTTTTTGCGCATACTGGTCTTCTTTGCCGCCAGTGTCACCCTCAAGGTGAAATCATACCAGACAACAAAGTTTCTTATCTGGATTCCTATTCTTGGATTGATTTCACGACCTCTCCTGTGGTACCCCCTCTACATCTCTATTTTCACTTAGATGAGGTTGTTGCATTGGACGCAAAGGAACATGCCTCATTTCAGGGTGGAACCAATTGGCCAGCCCGACTCACCATTGCAGAAGTCTCTTATCAGCTTGTGACTCAAGGAATTTGGGCGCGGGACCATTACTGGTGTGATGTAGTCCGGTCTGTTGAAGGCATAATGGGGGTTTGGCACTTCGATGAGGCAAAGAACAACGGGATCGCTCAGATCATTGACCAAGACATCAACACCATTGCTGGATGCCACCCTCACACCTCTTGGGTGAGCTATTTGCGCTTACCTCTGGCAGAAGAGAAGCCAACTTGAAGTTTTGATTTGTGATCTCATGAAGAAATTTCCAACTCACCATGCTACTATCCCATTCTCATTGCCTACAGAAGCTACCCCATTCAGAGGGGGCCTTCCTAATCTTGAAGATGATGATGAAAACAACCAAATCCCAGTGTTTCAAACCAGTAAGTCTTCAATTCACGTTGCCAGCCAGCCTCCATCTGGTCAAATCCCTCCATCTAGTCAAATCAGTACTACTTCAAATCTGAAGATCAAGATTAAAGTGTCTCGTGTACCTGATCTTGAACCTGTTGTAACCAAAACTGAATATGATCTATGTGATGAACCACTTCATGAGGAAGAAGTTGTGGAAAGAATGGATCAAGGCAACACAGTAATGGCACAACAAACAAGTGAGTTCTACCTTTTTCATCTGCTTATTTGTACCTTCACTTACTTACGGTATTTCTTTTGCTTCAGTTGAGTCTGGAGAAGTTGAAGATCAAGTGGAAGAGCAAGTGGAGACCATTACACCCAAACCCAGTAAGTTGATTTGTTCCTTGGTCAAAATATTTTTGTTCACTGACTGAATCATTCCTTCCACCCAGAGGGAAGAAAGAATCCATGTAATCAACCTTTAAATCCCGTTGCTGCTGAAGCCAAGAGGAAGGCTGCCGCAGATAAACGCAAGGCTACAGCTGATGAACGCAAGGCCGCTGCGGCGGAGAAACACACTTCTGTGAAGAGGAAAAAGATAGACTCTCAAACTATTTATTTACTTTTAAGTTTCTTGACTCTCCTTAAATGACCTTTGGCTGAACTTTTTCCTCTTGTGGTTCTCTCTCTCTCTAGTATTTCTGTTTCTATTCCTCTTGTGGTTATCTCCTCTTTGCTCTCTCAGTCTCTATTTATTTACTTAGTTTCTCTACTCTCCTTAAATGACCTTTGGCTGAATTATTGCTATTCCTCTCATGGTTATCTCCTCTCTCTCTAGTCAATTTGTGCTTTTTTTGTTTTGACTGTTTATAATTGGTCTTTATATTACTGTTCTTTTTTTGTAGGTATTAATGTTTCTGTGTGAATAATTATATAATAATTTAAGTTGCAAAAAAAAGGTGTAAAGGACATGTGTAAAATTCACATTTTACAAGGCTTCCACATTTTTGCACCGGAACTTCTTGCACTGGATAATTTGGTGTTTTTTTCCGGTGCAAAATTATAGATTGGGACTGGCCCCTGGAATTTTACACCGTACCTTTCACACTGAAATATTTTACACATTGAAAAAAAAATTGATCCATGTGTAAAATTCGAAGTTAGGGGGGGGGGGTAATATGAATTTTACACTGTATCTTTTTTACACCAAAACATTTGGTGTAAATGTGTCTGTGTAAAATTCTCCTACCCGGTAAAGTTAGACTACCAAGAAGTTTTGATGGGAATTTATTTATGTCTGTCTGAAGATAGCTATCCTCCAATTTCAGATGCTGAAGGTGTTTGAGACTTGATAATAAAGGAATTAAGTCTAATAAAAATGCTTCTGTTCCACCCACATCTCCAGGTTCTTCATGATATAGATATTTAATGTCCTACCATGAAACATTTGGGCAACAATCTATCAAGTCTTTCACATTCTTTGGAGAGATCCATACTACTTCGGCATCATGATCATGTTGAAAGCTA